CTCCCTTCTATTACTCTTGCAAATGCGTGGGGCACAGGCTCCTTCTCTTTTGCACTATCAAGGCCTAGTGCACGCCGAATTCAAATAGTGAAAAAAAAAAAACATAGGTATACAAAACTCACAAAAATTAATTTAATTTGGTAATCGGGCGTTAAAATGGGTTCCATGCGTAATTTTTGCTAATTTTGGAAAATCTTATTATTTCTTAAATTTGGCCAATATTTTAGAAATTTTTGGAATGCATTTTTAACTCCGCCTAGGCCAACATCAAAGAAGCCGCCTTATGCGCCGGATGAGTCCCGTCCTGGTGCGGTGTCTGTTTTGAAGCAAAAAACTCGACTGTGGGGTGGGACAGCCCTAGGCCTATCCCACGACAGGACTGTAATAGTGCGGTAGAGATTTAGATTCTTGCCTCGATTCTCGGAGTCTAGGCTAGGAACCAGGCTAAAAAAGGGAGACGAGAGGCGTCGACCCTGAGCGGACTCGAAGCTTAGAGTCTGGGAACAAGATCGATTCTTTGAGTCCTCATTTGGACTCGAAAGAATTGATCCCAGAGTCGATCTTGCCCTGGCCTAGTTTCCATTGTATGTCTATATTTGCCACAAGAAAAAAAAAAACAACATCAAATTTATCAGTGAAAAATTATTCATTCTAATTATATATTGATTAAAAATAATGTTCGAGAAGTTATACAAATTTTCCGTTTAAAAGAGAAAGACACTCAAGACGCAATAAAATAAACAAGATTTTAACTAGCCATTTTTGGACTTCACCATGCGCTTGAATCAGTATTCTTTTCCTCAAACAAGTGCAAGAGAGCTTTCAACAGAACTTGCCTTTTACTTACAAATCACGCTGAGGTTAATTAAAATTAAAGACATTTGCTCAAGCTAAATTCCGTTCAACAGGTGTACGCTAGCTAGACCCCAATACCCGCCCACAGTAAAATGAATGTCCTGGTCAACTGTGGACAAGAAATTAGACAAACTGAAAAAAAATGTTTTTAATCAAAATATGAAATTTTACTTGAGAAGTCTCAAGTTCTCAATACAATAACACCAACAATTTCTGAAGAGCTGATGGTGATTAGGATACTACAAACACTGAAAAGTGTTAAAAATGGAGCAGTCCACACCATCATATTGACTCACACAAAAAAAGGAACTGGTTTAGTTGAAGGTCTACAGCACTACTGTGTCTACCGTAATTCCTGCCTGATCAACCATGGTGTACTGCGATATGATACATCTAATGGGGTGTAAGTCCATCCTTATTGGCCACAGTAATGACATTGCTGAGGGTCAAAGGTGGACATTTTAATATTGTCTACGACAGTCCTAAGCAAGTATAAATCAGAAACATTGCAGTAGACCTTCAACAAAACTAGCTGTCAGACCACTTAAGCAGTAGATCCTCAACTAAACCAGAAACATCCAGGCAAACTTTCAACTAAACCGGCACCCCCCCCCCACACTAAAAGACTGAAAAGGAAAAATAGAGCAGCTTTGTCCGACAATGTGTAAAAAAAATGAAAATAACCTTCGTGAGCCATCCACATCATGTTGTGAATTGCAATCAGGATGCTCAGAGTTACAAACAGACACCTGAAAAATTAATACGAAAGGTATATGAACACGACAAAGATAAAGTTAAGTCCACAATGCAATAAAATCTTATTATAACTCTTTGAATGGCAATTGCACAAATAACCAAAGTCCCTAAGAAGATATTTCATTTGAAATGGTACAAATAGTAATAGTAATACATGTAATAATAATAATAATAATAATAATAATAATAAAAATAATAATAATATATTTGAGTTTAGAAAACAGACTTGTTTAGTTTAATAAGAATTTAAGGGCTTTTGCAACACAAATTGGTCATATAAGTGCTGAAGATTATTAGAGATGTTACTAGAGAGCAACATACAAAGAAAAAGAGGAGGTCAAACCACGCCAGAGTACTTGCCAACCACCCACAGTTCAACCATAGGCATGCATAGAAGGGGACAGTGAAAAATATCAAAATAACAATCACAATTTGAGGGTTTGTGTAGTGGCCTATAGTAAAGAAAGAAGTTGGCACTATACTCTCTTTATGTCAACATACCAATTAACACCCTAATATTTGCCTGTGCACTTACAGAATCTGGCTTCCTGTGGCATGTGTGTAGATGTGGTAGGCCAGTGACGCAGCCACAGCATAACACAGAGAGGAAAACAGAAGAATGGCAGCCTGCAGAGATACACTCAATACAACTTAAAAAGAAAAGAACTCTTTTTCCATTTTTTTTTCATGATTGCGTTAGGGTAGAACAATGCAATTTGTGAAATAGAAATACTTTGTGTTTTGACCTAGGGATTTAAAACACAAAAGCACACAAATCCATTGCCATACCGTATTCAAAAATACCTTGGAAGGGTCAAAACCACTGGCACATCCATGAAACCATTTTTAATTTAATAATTATTTACTATTACTACACAACACCCCCCCCCCCGAAAAAAAAAAGAATATTAATTATCATATAGAGTTTTAAAATACCTTGAATGATCCGTCTATGAGATTTTATTTTCTTATAGTTTCAAATGCAATGTGCTTTTCTGAATTCTTACTTTTATTTTCAACAAGTGTATTTTAAAAAATGTTTAAAAGATTTCAACACAAGTGAATAAAATAGCTCACATACCTTGTAGGCAACAGCAGAGTCATCATCCTGTTCAATCTGGTCAGCAGCTAGCTGACTTCGTCGCATTACAAAATTTTGCACCAGCACAACCTGCACAGAATATAAAATTAAAAGATAGAAAACATGTTTTGTTGCACAATTATTTCTCTGAAAATGACATATAGTTATATTATTGTCTGCTGCTGATATCATGTTCATTATAATCAAAGCATTGAGAGATACACGTATAATATATCGAAATGTTTAAAGAATAGAAAATATTTCACTTAAGTTCCTCTTCGAATTAAGTTGTTTGAATTTATCAGGATGACAGAGGAACGTTTTAATTTGTTAGCTTTATATTTAAATGGCTCAGCAACCTTACAAAACATCTTTATCCATGCTTTAGGCATTGATATCAAGATCGACCAAAAAAACAGAGCCTGGCATTAATCATAAAAGTATGCTGAGTATGTTATTGTATGGTAAATTTGTATTTAAAAAATTATTTTTTTAACCGAATGGATTCCTCTAGGCCTACCTCTGAAATCATAAAGACTGGATTTGAAGCCCATATGAGTTTGTCGAAGAGCCAGATAACAGGCCACGGAGTGAGTGACACAGGCAGGTACATCAGCAGCCCAAGCAGTAGAAGGTTCAGCACTGGGATCACGCTGAACTGAAACAGAAAAGATTTAGAACAGTATAGTAAAATACTGACACACTACTGTTCACTACAAAAAAATATGTTTTAAAATTTTATATAATTTTTTAAGGGGAGCGTATTTTCATACATTATATTAATTATAAATCATTCATTAAAGCCATGTCTAATTTTTCAAAATCCATTCTATCCAAGGTTCAACTCAGTGTAGTATATGACATGCAAATGAGAAGCTATCGCAAGACTATGCAGAAATACTCTAGTAGTAACTAAGCAGACTAAGTGCACATTTGCCACTTTTATGGGGGTGAAAGCATGAGTGTGTCCTTGCCTTGTTGCTTGTTACTTAGTCCTGTCAAGAAATTTAAGATTGTACTAAATTAGAATTTAAGACAAAGACAGTCAGCAAAAAAATAATTTATAATAGAGAGAAATTAAAAATGGTGAATATTGGTGAAGCAGCTAAAAAGGGGAATAGAGACTGGAAGGTAACAGGAGAAAGGCAGAGAAAGGATTTTTTTTTTCGAAGTGGCTGTGCGTACGGCTACCATACACATAGCATTGAGGCAATGAAATGTGTACGGCCCTCCACTTTACATTTAAATAAGCCTAGGCTTTGTAGGCGGCACATAAACTATCAAACCAGACACTACAAGTGGAAAAACTTAAACCCTGGAAGCGTGCAGGCCCTTTTTAAAGGGCATGAGCCAGGCTACCAGGGAAGCGCGCAGGATAAGGCTGATCTACTTCGATTGGGAAGCGCGCATATAGGAAACGATGACGTTTTTTCAATGGGAAATTTCCGTATTCCTTAGTCCAATATGGAAAATGACATCGTAAATTACAGGTCAAAGTGTTATCTTGACCTCGTAGAGAGTCTCTTGGCAAAGATCGTATATAACAAGAGAGTTCACTAGCCAAAAAAGTGTCAGCGTAAGTCTGCGAATTGGGTTAGATGACGCTGCAGTCTTTGTTTTGAAGCTCTTTTCGTTTCTCCAGCAGAAGAATAGAATAGCACAGTTTGTTAGTTTCACTCTTATTATTTATTTTCACACATAAGTACGGGAGGGAGGGCAGTACGCATATAATATATGGCTCTATGAGTACGGGAGGGCTGTGCCGTATGCATAGCCACAGGCTTTTTGGGGGGGGGAGGGGGGAGGAGAAAGAGAAAGTGAGGCAGTGACAAGAACTAAGTCTAAGTAGATCTATGTGTCAATACATTCAACTCAAGTCCAAAAAAAAAGACAGAGACTCCTCAAGTTCTGAAAATTGCTCGAAGACCAGGGTAAATTTCCAACGAAGTGACTATTCGGACTCGAGTCCGAATATGAAAAAATGTTAATCGGACTCTGATTTTTGTCCAGCATGACATCACTTCCGACTTCCTGTGACTCGTGACTCTGGCTTCCTGTCCTGCCTCACTCGTGACTCGCCTCAGGCTGGGTAGAGACCGGGATCACTTCGGGCAAAATGGCGTTTTATGCAGGACCCGAGTTTTTATCTTATGATGAATTTGAGGCCGGCCTGAAAAGTTATAGCATTTCTAATAAATGTTTATTTGTCAAGAGGTCATCAGAAGCATTTAAAGATGGCTTGTTAGCATGAGTCGGGGTCGGATGGGCGGCCTGCACACGTGTGGCTGTGTGTGCGTGTCGGGGAGGGGGCACTATATCGGTCCGGGCGTTGAACGTCACATACGTGTCAGTCTTTTTCCCTCCGGCAACTGATCATTATTACAAATTTAAACCTTGTCTTGACGTAGATCTATGTAATGAATTGTGCGCTGGTCTAAGGAATCAACAATTGCCGTATAATACATGTATGCTCGGCTCTAGCAACACAACTTTTTCTTGGTAAACAATCGAGATGACACAGGCTTGTGTATTTGAACGAATCGGTCTTTTTTTTTACACAGCTCATAATATGCAGGTGCCGGGTGGTCTGCTAATCTTCAATTTTACCTTTTTCTACAACAAAGTCAAAGAAAGTGGGAAACATGGGGGGTGGGGGGGGGCGTATCAATGAGGCGGCGGGCATCGGATCGGCAGATATTTATAAGGTGTGAGGGAAACTAAAAAATGGCAGAAAATTGGAAGCACTGAACGGCTGAACGTTAGATTTAGATCTCTATAGAACGAAGACACTTTCTTTTTTCCGGACCCATGTCCGAATAACTTTTTTTCATATTCGGACTCGAGTCCGAATAAAGACGGACAAATTTCAAACGCAGTGGCTACGTTCACGGCGCCGTGAACGTAGTCCGCAGGCTAGGTTCACGGCGCCGTGAACGTAGTCTGCAGGCTAGGTTCACGGCGCCGTGAATGTAGTTGGCAGGCTACGTTCACGGCGCCCTGAATGCAGTTTGCAGGCGCTGTTGAGGCTACGTTCACGGCACTCAAGCTTTGTTTAGATGGAGCGTCCACTGCCGGTTTTAGTCAGTGACTACAGTGACGTATATTTAATATTTTGGCCAGCTTCAAATGTTCCATTCCATGAGATGAAGGAAAACGAAAAAGCCTGGGAACCGACGCAGAGAAAATGACGGGAATAATTCTGATCATAATAGCAAACACCCCCCCCCCCACCCTCTCTCTCTCTCTTTCTGTCTGTCTATCCCCTTTCTCTTTCCTTCTCTCTCTTTCTCTCTCCCCCCCCCCTCTCTATTTTCTCTGTCTGTCTGTCTGTCAGTCCCCCCCCCCCTTCCCTCTTTCTCCCTCTCTCCCCCTCTCTTTTTCTCCCCCCCCCCACAACCTTCTCTCTCCCCTTCTATATCTCCCCCCCAACCTTCTCTCTCTGCCTCTCTATCTCTCTGTGTGTGTGTGTGTGTGTGTGTGTGTGTGTGTGTGTGTGTGTGTGTGTGCGTGTGCGCGCGTATTATGTCTTTGGCCCAGAACGAGATATTCATTCTTTCATTCAAACTATTTGCAAACGTATTTCATATCAAGTATGCATTTTTCTACAGTAAAGAGATATAAGGAAAGTTGATAGCACGGTTATTTTTTTTTATATTTCTTGCAACTGAGATAAGAACTGAAAACAAAAGCTCTCAATATTATTGCCAGGTCTCGTTATCTGAGAAACTCATTATTGGTCAATGTTCCCTTTACTCAACTTTACTGTCTTATTTTGTTCTGCACCAAAACTGCGCTTGTGTTTATATTTACAGACAGACAGACAGACAGACAGACAGACAGACAGACGGACAGACAGACAGACAGACAGACACAGAGATTTTAGATCAGTTCCTACACTCAATTCATTCTTTTGTTTCAGCCTCATACTCGTCTCTTTCAATGACATTTGCTGATGCTGATGCTAGCGTCTAATCAACGAGATGAGAGTGCTGTTTCGGCACTACCCCAGTTTCAACAGTTATCGAGCTCAGAAAATGCTTTTTGAACACCTTTTCAAAATACTTTGATGCCCTAGCCTCAATTTCTCAAGATTACCCCAGCCTACCGCAATGGCATCCACATTCTTCAGCACATCACACGACAGTTCGAACATTGATAGGCCCTAGTGGTGTAGGCATAGTGATGGAACATATAGTGAGAGTGATAATAGTGAAGAGAAACCTTTAGATGAGGATGAACTTGCTCCACACCCCATTGCCAAAAAGAAAATTTCACCAATGAAGAAAGATAAAGAAGTAGGTGACAATGACGGGTATGCGTTTTTTATTCTGCCTTTGAGAACCCACCATCAAATAAAGTTTCAGCAAAATTTACAAGGAAGTGCAAAAGCTATGGAGGCTGAAACAATATTCACAAAATCAGCGCAACACTGAGGTTTAGTATACAGCAGGATGCTGTGTGACGGAGATGCCAAATCTCATCAGATGCTCAATTTTTTATGGCATTTATGACTTTGAAATTGTAAAAGATGACTACACACATCGCATTAGTAAAAGTATTTTCAATGCCCTTCAGAGCTTCCAAAACACCAACAACGAAGAGCTGAACAGAAAACTAATGAAGATTGAAAAACAGAGCAGTTACAAATGCCTCACAAAACCTGGACGTAACAGTTACTTGTGTTCATTAGTTTTAATTTTGTTTTTGTTCAGGAGCTGTTGGTTTCTTACCGAGCTCGAAACCTCTTTTGCACACAGACCCTGTAAGATTTTGAACATCTGTCAGTGAGGAATAGAGGCCACGAAACTGCCATGTGCCCCCAATTCAGACCCGTTGTTTGGAACTCTCTGTGACATTTGAAATGGAATGACTGATAAATATGTCCAAAACTAAATAGAACTGATGCCCAAAGGTTTCGTGCACAACACAAAACCAATGGTTCCTACGCAAAATAACAATGAACACAATTAGTGTTGAGTCGAAGTTTTGTGTGATATCTGTGATTGCTCTGTTTTCCGTTATGTTTGAAACTATCGTGACAAAATATCGTAATAAAATATAGTTTATTGCAAAGACACAATTCTCCATTCATTGGGCATTCAATATATCGCCATTCGATCAATATTGATACTCTTCAATAAATGCGCAAAGACAATTTTACGTTTCTTTGATTTCGCACAATTTTGCCAAGCCTTATTTTTTTAAAGGTCAATTTTGAGTGACAATATCTCGGGCGTCTCTTAAAATAGATTAAATATTAATGTGTCAGATGATGAAGAATTTATTTAGCTTTAAATTGGAATGCTGCATGAGTGGGTAATGCAAGGTTTTAACACGATGACTGGGTGATTACATTTTCAAGTTTCTTTTGGACGCCACTGTATAACGGACTACGTTTACTATTTACAGTAAGTTTTGCACCTCCAGACTTTTAGGAGTTTTCTCTCAAATTGGGCTCTTTCAGGGGGGGGGGGGGGGGGGCACAAAAATCTATCATGCGAAAAGCTGTTAATATATCGTCATAATTTTCGGTATACTGATAGATGAAACATTATTCTAGTGTGATAAGTAGTGACGTCAAAATAAATCTTGAATAAATGATTTTATTATAAATTTAATCCGTTGTTTGGATCTCAGATTTTTTTGTGGTCAAAATATTCCCATATTTAGGACCTCGATTCTGGAAACGTTTTTCCTCCTACATCAAAAATGCCAAGTCCATCCTCTAAAACAGCCACGGAAGGCTGCAAAACCACTTATTGCAACATTTAAAACCATTTATAACCTTATGATAGATTTTTTAGAAATGTGTGCATTTTCTATATGACATTCCAACATGGCAGGCGTTACCTTAGCAACACAAAAGAATTTTCAAAATTTTACTTTATGACTTAATTATCCACTCTTTTTATATTGATGCTAACCAATAATGCTATCACATTTGTAAGCTTAGTTTCTTGTCCTTAACGAATTTCAAAATTTACCCCTCATCATGCCTCAAACCGGCAGTGGACGCTCCGTCTAAACGAAGCTTGAGTGCCGTGAACGTAGCCTCAACAGAGCCTGCAAACTGCATTCAGGGCGCCGTGAACCTAGCCTGCAGACTACGTTCACGGCGCCGTGAACGTAGCCACTGCGAATTTCAAATTCTCTTCTTGTGACTAAACTGAAACTGACAGAAAATTTAGGCCCTAGCCTAGATCAGATCTCGGTGATCTTATACTTTAGCACGTTAAATTCCCAAAATCTTACTAATCCCCGGCTCAGACCTTCAAAACTTTGAACTGGGCCTAAAAATGCGCAAACTACAGTAATTTTGTCATGAATAGATGGTACAGTGGTTTTTGGTCTTCCATTGTGATTTTGATCTTGATTAGATAGAGATCATGTTTTAAAGTGGTCGTTCGTTACGGAAAAGGGAATAAAATCAATTGAAAAATTTAACGTGCTAAAGTATATAGATTCTAGATCTATAGATCTATATATAAGATCACCCAGATCTCTCTACTCCATGCCAGTGGGCGTGAATTTGGACCCAACTCACCAATATTTTCGGAATGCATTCCACTAGGACCCCATGTAGCATCAAATAAATGGCAAGTCTGTAGATTGTTTCCACACCACAGAAAGAGCCCAAAATAGGCACACAAACCAAACAAAGATATGGCAAGATTTCTATACAACATCCTAATCCAATTCCAAAACACATTTTGGTCTTTTTATTTGAATCTCTGGGTGTCGATCGGATGTCAGATTATTCGGAACAAGGACTGATTTGTCTTGCCTTCTAGATCTAGATTCTACCTCTAACTTTTAAAACTTTCGTTACAACAAGTCAAGAAGCCTTCAAACAGCAGTCAATCCAAGGTATCGTGGGCGTAATTTCTGACACAGACAGTAACCCATTTTCCCTGAAGCAAAACACATGAAAATAAAGTCAGGTAGATGTCCATCTACTGGAACGAATTAATATTCCCCCTTTCCTTCGTCATACACATCCATGAGTGAGCAAGTTTCGCTCACGCTACACTGTGTGTCACTCTTTCAGACAGTTTGTGTTTGTTTAGGTCCTGGTGTTTTAGTGTTTGTTTTGAAGTCAGACTTTTGGATTTGGATTTTCCCCCCTTGGAAGAAATTCCGTACACGAAAGAAGGACTGTGGGGACTTTTAGCTCGCGCCTCTATATTTTAATATCACAGACTTTGCCCAGTAGTTTTACATTAGATCTATATATAATATAAGTATTCAGATACAAAAAATCAATTGCCAAGTCCTTATGGAGGTAGCCACTAGTCAAGTAAATCGTTTCCTGTTTTAGAGGTTTTTTTAGGGGGGAAAATGTGAAAAACCCACAGGAGAAAAGGCATAAAAAGACAACAATTACTGTACCTTGTCATTAGACAAAACATTTTTGTCACTATCATTGTGTGTGTATATATATATATATATATATATATATATATATATATATATATATATATATATATATATATATATATATATATATATATATATATATATATATATATATATATATATATATATATATATATATATATATACATACACACATACACACACACATACACACATCAGCATTAACCTGCATGCAACAACAAACAAATATCTAGAATCTACGTCTAATTTTTATGTACATGAAAAAGAGTTCATACTATGTAAGGAGAACTACAATGACTAAGACTATTTCTAATAAAATGAGCCCAATCCTGAAAAATAGAAACATCTCAATGAACACCAAAATGAACGTCCTGAGATGCTATGTTTGGTCAACCCTTCTATATATGGCTGTGAATGCTGGACAATCACTAATCACTAAGACAGTGGAAATAAAATAATATAGAAGCAACAGAGATGTGGTTTCTTATGAGACTGCTAAGGGTATCGCGGGAGGAAAAGAAATCAAATGAGGTAGTGCTTGATGAAGCCCTTGTGGGACGCTCAATGTTAAAACAATCAGGAAACGAACAAATGCAGTTTTTAGGACACCTGAATTGACATAAGGGTCTTGAACATCTAGCTCTCACTGGCAAAATTGAGGGCAGGCGAGGCAGGGGTAGGCCCAGAACAAAATACTGAGGGAACCTAAACAAATGGATAACAGGGAAAGATTAGGGAAACGTAGCTTTTTTTTAGAGCATACGAGCAAAGGAATGAATGGAAAACCATGATCGCCGATCTGTCGCAGATCTCGCACTGGATGATGAATACACAATAATTTAAGCGACAAGATATTCAAGGGAAATCATTCTTCTCCTTCAACCATTCAAAATGTATTCTTTTGACTACTTCCCTTTGAAGAGGCCACTTGCACTCTCGTTCGGCCAATTGAACAATTTACTTAATAAACTACCCGTCACGCCATCTGGCGTTTAGGGCACCAACAAAGGATCTCCAGCTCTGTCTGTTTTGGGCCATCTTGGTCAACGTCCCCCACGAATGGTTCCAGGGATTGAACATCATGTATTCATAATAATTCGCGGACAAGCTGTTAAAGATTATGGTCTAAGCTCAGAAAGCAGATTTTTTTCGAAAGAGAGAACCAGTTATTTCATTATTTTAAGCAATTAAACCAACATTTTAAGTAACTTTTCTTGCCTTCTTCAATATTCAGAACTTGAATTTCGGCAAATTATCATTCGAGCAAGGGCAGCTGATACCATAGCTGATTAAAAAGAAAAGAAAAGAAAACCTCTCTCAAAACCAGGGGCGGACTGGCCTATGGGCATTTGGGCAATGCCTCCTGGGCCGGTGCCGAAGGGACAAAGTGGGCCGGTGCCGAAGGGAAAAGGTTGGCCGGTGTTGAAAGGACAAAGTGGGCCGCTTGGTTTTGAAAAATTGACTTCAGATTACTGTGTTTATAAGACCAGTGGATCCACTCCTTTTTCTTCCTTTGTAGGCCTGAATGGATAAGTGGTAATGGAAATGTCAAACCACAAAAGAAGAAAAGGAGATGAGGAGAAGGAACGCGAACGAAAGAAAAAGAAACTGTCTGAAAGTGCATCAAAATGCCGAAATATTTTGCCATTGTTTAAAAGTGCTGATGCAAAGGAACCTGTAATCGATGAAAATGTGGCAAAAAGCACATGCAGCTGGACCTTCAGCAGTTGAAACAACGGATTTTGACCAAGTTGACGAAAGTAGTGGATTGGCAGCTGCTGCTGATCTATCGGCAAGTGAAGCTGGACCATCATCAGGTGAAATGAGAAATATTAAACCAACAAGTGAAAGGGAAACTTTGTCCCTGGCTAGCACAGAACAGACTGCACATACTGAACTTGAAGCCACAGGAAGTGAAGATTTCAGGATTTACTACTTTCAGAAACCATGCACAGAAGAAGAAAGGTTGTTGTTTTGGAATCACCATCTATGTCAGAAGAAAGATAATCGAGTGGTGCAAAGATGTTTCATTCATGAAGACAGATGGTGGCTGTGTAACAACAAAGACTCCCTTGCACTTCTCTGTTCTGTCTGCTTGGTGTTTTCTGCCACTTCAGACACATCCGCATTTCTTGAGGGAATGAAAGACAGGCGGCATGTACATTCTCGTATGGAACAGCATTAACGTTCGTCTTTGCATCAGCAATTCTCAACAGCATACCTGGTTGATAAAAAAAACAATCAAGCATGTCTCACATGTTGGCGAAGGACTACTGTGATGAAGTCAGAAAGAAACAGCAAGTGATTAATGGAGTTGTGGATGTAGTTAAACTCATAGTCAAGAGAGGACTAAGCTACAGAGGAAGTACGGAAGAGGCAGCCTACACTTTGGACAATGAGGAAATTGACCATGGTACTTTCCTGGAAATTGTTACGTTGCTACGCAAATACGATTCATTCACAGCTGATCACCTCTCTCGGTTAGTCCATAACAGCAAGACAACAAATGAGAAGGCAAACAGTTCGAAAGGCAAAGGCTCATTTGTTACTTTTTTGTCCAGAACTACAGTGGATTCTATCATCACGGTTATACGGGATATGATCCGTTACTTCATTTCGGAAGACATAACAGACATGTTTGCTGCGGAAATTGACACAATGCAGGACATAATAACTCAGGACCAATGCTTCAGTGTCGTTCGATATGTGGATAAAACTGGCAACATTCAAGAAAGACTGGTGAGTGTTGTGAAGTTCGAAGAAACTACCGGCGAAGCTTTTCTGCATATTGTTTCGGAAGTTATGCAAGGGTTGAATCTTGACCTCAAACAATGCGTTGGGAATGCAACTGCCGGTGCAGCAAACATGCATAGAGGTTTCAGTACTCTGCTTTCAAACAAAGCTACAATGCAGATCCATGTTTGGTTCCACGCTCATGTATTGAATCTTGTTGTTTCGGAGGCCACAAGTGCTGAAGCTAACAGTGCATTGCTATACATTGATTAACGACATTGCGGTGTTCTTTTGGGAGTCTTGTCAGCGGAAGAAAACCTTGAGTAGGCAATCGACAACTATGAAGCGTCTGTGAACCATTGGTGAGACCAGATGGTGGTCAAAAGATGCTGCCTTTATTAAGGAAGGTGTTTGGTTCTTTCAACAATCCACCCGAAGCTCTGTTTGTTGAAGTGATCACCAGCCTCAACGCTATACTTGTTGCTGACAACACCCAAGCAGTCGTTAAAGCTAAAGTAAGAGGATACATTGATGCTCCACTCAAGTTTGAAACAGTTCTCACAGCGCAAGTGTATCTGCAAATATTTTCACACGCAACAGCCCTATCTAAGTATCTGCAAACCTTGCAACTGGACCTTTTGACTATATATATATACAAGATGGTGGCGGAGTTGCTGTCAAACATGTAGGCCCTCGGGGCGGACTTCGAAGCTTCTCAAAATGCAGCTGCAAAGTTTGTTCAGTGGGTGAATGATGCACTCGGGGAGAGCGGGTCAGATTCGTTCATGAAAGAGTCGCTTTCCTTGAAACTGCAAAAACGACGCAGGCGAATGGATGATGAAATCTGTACAGACAAAGCTACATCAACAGCTGACCCAATGAATAAATATCGTGTTGAAGTGTACAATCGAATTGAAGACACCCTTGTTAACAGAATTGAACAAAGATTTAAAGGATCTGCAGCACCTAGATTGGTTGCTGACCTGTCCCTTCTTCATCCAAGAAACTGTGGTGAAGTCCCATCAGAGGCTATGGAAGAGCTGCAAAAGTATTTACTGAGATTTGACGACAGCGTCACCGCTAAATGGTTGCGAACATGCGAACAGAATTGCAAAGCCTTGGAGAACGATAGAAATCAATGAAGCAGTCAGTTGCAGACCACTATGAGGGGAAAGACAGCGATATTGACTGTGAATCAGAATTGAGCACTCAAAATGTTTCGAGTTCCACTGTTACATGTATCTTATGCAAGGTTTGCCCTCCCTGCTGTTACAAGGTGCTACTCAAGTTGAACCTCTTCACCGATGCTTACAAAGGCATTGGGGTTGCTTACAAGCTACTACTAACCCTGTCAGGTTGCATGCGAACGGTCGTTTTCAGCCCTGAAGAGAATCAAAACCCGTCTGCGAAGCACAATGACACCAGAACATCTTGAGGCATTTATGCTGATGTCAGTGGAAAAGGAGATCTTGACCAAACTGGGCAATGAAGACATCATTGATGCTGTGGCCGAATATAAGCAAAGAACTTCGCAGGCATCTACTCTCTTATGTATGCTCTGGGCTGAGTTCTTGTGCTCATGTTGTTTTGATTTTGTTGTACAACATGTATGTTGTATATTACAAAGTTGCTTACACACACAAATATGCACGCACGCACATGCACACATCCAAACACACACAAATACAACATGGGTGTTTTCGTCTGTTTCTGTGCTCTGAATAGTAACACAATAATAGTTTGGAGGCTTAGAAACATGTTGGATTTGCGTGTTTTACTAGGCTTTAGTGGGCCGGTACGGATGACAAATGCCCGGGCCGGTTTTAAGACCCAGTCCGCCCCTGCTCAAAACCATACACAAACAAACAAACAAACAAACAAACACACACACACACGCACACACACACGCACACACACACACACACACACATATATATATATATATATATA